TTTTAGCTCTAAATCTTGTCATTCTCATGCATGCTGCACTGCCCTATTCTATACTCTTCCAAGCACCTGAGGTCCCCGTGGTTAGGACCTTTGGGGAACCAACCTGTTTAATGGCTACATGCCACAGTGGGTTATTCTGTGCAGCAAGATACCACTACCAGTACCCTAAAAGGGCAATGTTGCAGTCTTTAATCTTTTCTAATTTCAGTGCCACCATCATTTTTAGGTAGGCAACTTTGTCAGAGGAGGTGAGGAATCTGTGGTCTCCCCATTAGCCCTGGACCATAATAAATCTTTTATAAGATTTGTTCCTAATTGATCAGGCATATGGAAGAGGGGAACTTTTTAAATGGGAATATTAGCAAGGGTTGTTTTGATTAGTGTTGTAGTGCCCCCCTAAAGAATGGTACATACCCTTTCCATCTCCCCCCAGTCTACGCTGGATCTTTCTTGGTTTGCGGGGGGGGGGCAGGGAAGTTTAGGTTTTCTACTCTGCACGTAGTCTTCTAGCTAGGGTTGTTACCTCTTGATGATCTAGCCCCACCCCCTTAATCTTGGTCTTTTTCCTGTTGACCTTCATTCCTGTGGATATGTCAAAGCACCTAAGAAAGAGCCAAAGGGTGGCCAATTGTACGCGGGGGGTCTCACAAAAGATGTGTATCATTTGCATAGGATAAATGCGTTTTGCAGGTTCCAATCTAGAAGACCCAAAGCTGTTGAGGAGGCCTCTCTCCTATAACCGGGAGACAGACCAAGTAGGGGGTCATCCTGTCTTAAACCTCGAGAGTCAGGGAGGAATACGTCTTGGGATCCATTAATGAGGATGGATAAATAGAAGAGGAGATACAGGCCTTGATCCAGGAATCCCATTGTCAAAGGCCATTTCTAAAAGAACCTCATCCAGGAGACCAATCTTTGTGGTTGTAGGCCTCTTCACAGTCGAATTTCACCACTAAACCAGGGATGCCTGCTAGTTGTCTAGATTGGATAGCTTCTTAGACTATGAGTGCCCCCCATCAAGGATCTGTCTCTTTGCTACAAAGGTAGATTGGCTGTTTGTCAACAACTTGCTATTTTAATTGAAAAAGACCATGTTCTTGTCACCAACCTTAAGCCCACCTTTGACTCTTGACAGTTTATACCAACTTCATGTTTGAGGATGGTTTCCAGGGTACCATTGGAACTTGTTCTTATCTCCCTTTCTTGGGTGGAAAGCTTTCTGGTTTGTTCTATGGAGTCAAGGTTCTGAATTACCCTTTGAAGAGCATCCTTCCGGGGGTGGAAATCCCCAGGCAGCTGTCTACTTCACTGCTTGACAGAGTGCTTGAGTAACTTGAGATTCTTGGTTGGAGAGAAGCCTGCCCAATCATAGACATGAAGATAATGTATTTACGCCTAAAATTGTGAGTTGAGGTTTTGTATGGATCGTAAGGGTTGCGAAAGTCACAACGAATCACTAATAATCTCTGGTGCATCTCAAATTTCATTCATTTTCATAAACTTAGAATTTTTAAAGCAAATAAATCTCTCTCTGAATTGTGACACCCAACAGAATTGAATTTGAAGTGCACATGTCAGACATGGCGCTTAGGACCTATTATGTGTGGAATACTAATGGTTTCTGGTCCAAGTTTTGCAAGATCTATGTACTTGTCTTGAGACTTAATAGGTTTTTGGCTTGAATTTTTTTGGTTGGTTTTGTGTGACAGAAATTATCAAGGATTGCACTCTAGATATTTGCATTCCACCCCCAACACTTAAGGAAATGACAACATAACAGATTAGTTTCATTTGCTTTTTTTTCTTTTTCCCACCTCTTTATATTAAATAATAGGATTTCATGTTTCAATCTTAGTAGCATAGTTACAACTAGATTAAATGGTAATGCCAATATAATTTACTTGTTAGAGTTTAAAGGCATCCTAAGTTTCTTAGCTGTGTAAGTGTGGAGTACGTACCATTTTATCAGCTGGGGTGTTAAGTCACTTTTGCCCCTTTTTCACATTATAAATAAGTCATTTGATGATTAAAGAATAAAATAAGAACTGTAGCACCTTAGAGTTCACGTCAACACTTCAATGAAATTTTATGTCATATCAGAGTTATTTGTCTCGAAGGCAATAAAAAATAATTGAAACCACTGCAGTCAAGAAGAAATAAAGCAGTGAAAGCATATTCTTCAAGTCCAGCACGTCTAGAGCTGGCTTAAATTTCTATACGGTCGGCCAATTTGTGATATTTAACTTATAATAATTCACACTTTACTTTAATTATAACTTGGTTGAAGATCAAAATATGTGATGTGCATTCTGACACATTGCGTGTGTTTAATAAGTTTCTCAAATTTTTCAGCGTACTTAAAAAAATTCCATTTTCTTTTTTTAAGCTCGCTAATTTTCTACCTAAGGCTTCCACGCATGTCTGGAATATGGTTCTTCTCTAAATTATCATGTTATTCCTTTCCTATATTTCACTGCAGCGAAGTGCTCAAAATAGGATTCTGTATCCCTATTTTTACTGTTTGGTACTGTTCATAGCTTAGTTCCTGTTAAACTCTCGACTTTGATCTTCATTGGTATTACAATCATAGGACATCTAGTTGATTTTCTTCTTAGTATTACTGGTGATCAAGTCTCCAATGTTGCTCATGACTCCTGATTACTCAGAGGCAATATTCCTTTCCATCAATAAGAGATTCGACTGGCAAAACATACCAAATATACTGTAGTGACCCAGGGCAGAGATTTGGAAATATAGTTGATGCTTGTTGCATGTTACATGGGAGACCCTCTACTCATGAACCGTGGATACCATCTTACCTAGAAGAAATTTCAACCTAAACAAGTGATTCAATGAATGATTTCCAAAAATCAGTGGCTAATGGACTCTTTTTTCTTTTTCTTTTTTTTTTAATATGAGCAGTTAATGGACTCTTTGTATCTTTTATTATTGGAATTTTAGAACTATATTTAACATATTTAGATATATGCGAGTAAAATTTTCAATAGGGTTAGAACTAGAACATTTGGCACCATAACTCCAATTGGTAAATTAAATGAACCAAATTTGTAAGGTCCAATTATATTAAAGTGAATACTCATTCACAGAGGCATTATTTAGAGAGGTTACATGGTTATAAGTACATGTCCAGCTTGAGTCCAATAGGTGGAACTAGGATGGAGAAGAACAAGAAAAGAAAAATAATGGGCAAACTGCATTTCATGGAAAAGTCATTTGTGTTTTCTGTGTTTTATGATGAATAACAACGAAGTGTCTTTCTGAATACCCAAAATAAGAAAACGAAGTAAGGAGGAAAAGGCATACCGCTACAAATTTCTCTTTAACACTCATTTCCAGGTCAAGTACAATCATGCAAGTGTGGAAGATAACGTTTCCTTTTCTTATTCCTTCTACACAATATTAGTGTGAATCGCAAACAGGCACATAACTTACATTGATGGTAAGAGTTCTCTAAAGATCCCTTCTAATATGGTTTAATGGACAAAGGAGAACACATCAAAGTTTATTAGTGGGAAAGGAGGAACCACTTGAAATGTAATGCGACAAGTTCCTTCAGTTGCAAGTCACATATGTTCTTACTAAATATTTTGCAGGGACAGATTCCATTTCTTGAAAGTTAAACTAAATGTGCAAGCATCTTAGAGAAGTGTCATAGTATTGTTTCTTTTAATTTATTTATAGAGTTCTATGCACTGGTCTTTTGCTTGTCAGAAAGCTTTATTTATTCAGTTCATCAGTTATGTTGTTCATTCTTGTTTCAAGTCTCATATGCTTTCCTTAGAGAAAGCTAGAAGTCTGGCATTATGATAATCCTTAGAAATGCCCAGCACAGTTTAGGGCTCTAATATCCCAAACAAAACCACCTGAGTTTCACAAGCCATACCAGCCCATCTCATCAAAGACTTCTCAAGTCTTGTTCTGAAAACCATAATCCAATCATCACTTAGATCCTTTCTGGTAATGGAGTTTCTGCACACCATTCAATGATTTGGTTAGAACATCATGATCTCTGTACACCATGCCAACATGCTTTCCAATATAAGTTGGACTCTATCATTCAAATGAGGCCAGAAAATGTTGTGCCCAAAAACCAGTGAATAAGTTCACAAAGTTCTTAGTTCGTTACGGAATTTGGTGAGGTTCTTGAAACCTTAAATTTATATCTTATACTTTGATTCCAATTTCTTTTCTTCATTGTGGGTCTCTTAACTTATTTGCACCCGTCATTTTCTAACTTCTTGCAGAAGCGTAGTCTCCCTCATGTCAAAGTCGCAGAGTAGTTTATACTACTTACCCAAAGTAGTAGCAGTCAATAGATTTATGTTTTTTTTTTCTTTATTCATATATGAATTTGTTTGCATCAACTGTAGTTCTACTGTGATTCTGCCATTTGTTCGAGTCCAATTGTGCTAACTAGTCAGTAGAACCATTTGATCGCCTGTGGACATCCTATTTACGTCATTTCACTGATCTATTGAAAATGGTTCCTTTTCTTTTGTCTTCTTAGTTATCAGACTTCTACATTATTTTGTCCATAAGTTTGAATTATGCAGTTTTTATATGTCATATTTGATCAATTTTTGAATTGTTTTTTTATCTGAGATGTTTCTTCAATTTATAGATTAAAAAAAGATCATTCGCATGTTCAGCATCACAAGTTGAATTCATAGTCAAATCTGCCATCTTCTTCTCTTTTGAGTGGCATGCATCGTGGATTGGGAAAATTATATCTAGAGTGATGGAATGTGATAATTTTGTTTTTAGGACAAATATGAGTTCTTTGATTTCTAGTTTTTTCCATTGGAACTTTAGTTCACTATCTTAATGGAGTGAAAATTGAACTGAGAAATGCAAATTTGTGAATGAAACATTAAAGGTATCTACTTTCTCAATTTTAATTTAAGGGATTTTAGGTGATAATGTATGTATCAGGTATTTATCTAAACTGAAACCTTCTGTCCTTGGTGGGTATTATGCAGATAGTGAGGAAACTACTAGAATTCGAGGGAATCGACATAAAGCTGGTGAACAGATCCCAGGAAACTGCCTTAGATACCGCTGAGAAAACTGGAAACCTAGAAATAACATCCATTTTGCGAGAAGCTGGGGTGGAAAGCACAAGGGGTGCTAATCAACCTAGCAAGGAACGTGAACTAAAGCAGACAGTGAGCGACATAAAGCATGAAGTCCACTCTCAGCTGGAGCAGACTCGTCAAACACGCAAACGAGTCCAAGGAATTGCCAAAAGGATCAATAAACTCCATGAAGAGGGGTTGAACAATGCCATAAATTCCACCACAGTGGTCGCTGTTCTCATTGCCACTGTCGCTTTTGCTGCCATCTTTACAGTTCCTGGCCAATACGTGACCGACCCAAACGACATCTCCCCAACTGTGTCAATGGGGGAAGCCTACATTGCCCATATGACTCCCTTCCATATTTTCTTCATATTCGATTCCATTGCCCTCTTCATCTCTCTTGCAGTGGTGGTAGTCCAAACATCGGTTGTGGTTATAGAAAGCAGGGCCAAGAAGCAGTTGATGACGGTTATTAACAAGCTCATGTGGTTGGCTTGTGTGTTGATATCGGTGGCGTTTATAGCTCTCTCATACATAGTGGTGGGGAAGCACCTGAGGTGGCTGGCAATAGCAGTGACATTGATAGGCACTCTTATAATGGCCACTACATTAGGGACTATGTGTTACTGGGTGATCATGCACAGGATTGAAGCATCCAACATGAGGAGTATAAGGAGGTCCTTTAACAGCCGTTCACGCTCGGGCTCCATGTCTGCCATTTTCTCAGATCCCGAGGTCCTGAATACGGATTACAAGAAGATGTATGCTATCTAATCCTTGTCGCTCTGCCTCACCCCCCCGCCCCCCTCTCTCTCAGTGCCTGTTGTTACTTCCAACTACTTGTCTCTGTAAATGGCTACGTTATTGGCCATAGGAAAGGTGAACTAATGGCATTTTATGAAATGTATGATAGTAGTTATACCTTAATGTTCGGACTGTTTTAACTAAACGAGGGCACTTTGTAGTTTGTACCAAGGAGGTCGGGATGCCCCTATTCGAAGTGTGGGGTCAATAGATGCCATTGACTCCAATGGGAAAAGGAAAACCATCGCTCTGTGGGTCACATGCCATCCTTGGGTTATGTTACCTAGCCTTGATTATTGAGGAAGTATGGTGGGCAGATGGATCTCCTCTGCCAAACTTGTGTTGATTCACGTGGTCCACCGCTGTGCCAATGTATATGTAAATATGAACAGTTAGGATTGTATAATATAAGATAATGGACAAGGTTTCCATGAGTTGGCTGACTCATTTATTTAGATGAGTCCTCTCTCCAATATCTATTTTAGAGATGAATTTTGGAATCAAAATTTTAGGGAATGAAAATCCCAAGCTCGATAAGTAAGAACCTTTTAAAAAATATAAGTTTTAGAAGTATGAAAAAATGACAGTTTTAACATTGTTAATTTTACATTTTTTAGGGGCTACTATTTTCTAACATCTATATGTTATGTTAATGGTGGGTCGCCTGAAGCACAAACTACTTTAGAGATCACAATCATTTTTGACGTCGGATGTGAAGTTCGTTAGCTTTTTGTCACATAATTTCATAAATCTTTTTGGACTTTGCATCCAATCAACTATACACCTCTAGTAACTTAATTTCACATCCCATTAAGGCGCAACCTTAAACAATCCAATTAAGGTGCACCTCCAAATTTTATATTAACATGTAATTTTGGTCAAAAACATTCTTAGGATTATTTCAAAATCTATTTTTCATATCTAATTATAAAATTTTAAACTTCAAAAATGGCTAAAATCAAGTAGATCTATAAACATATGAAAATCTTGAAAATGGACGATCTAGATAATGTATTGCAAGATGCACTATTGCATGGGGGTAAGGTAACCCTTGGATAAGCCATGAGCAGTTCCATCCCATAATTGGAGAAGTTATTCCACCCGACGTGAACTTGTCATATTAAATAAAAGGAAAGTACATAATGAGATCATTTACTTTTGGTACAAGGTGGTCACAATTAATTTTGACAATTGGATGTGAAATTGCGTGAGTGCATTTATTTCATTGACTAAGCTCAAAGTTTAAAATTTTTTTCTTGAACTGCGTAACACACCCAAGCTATTAGATTTCAAATTGGATGGTTGAGTAATTGTGACTCTCTATACAAAAGATAAACGGTCTCATTGTACACAATCCCTTAAATAAATGGGCATCCGAGAAGATCAAAGATCATATTAAATAAATGGGCATCCTAGAAACAAGGCACATATGTGTCTAGGGCATTACGGATCTGGGACTTCCTCATTTCCCTGATCTCCATGGAGTTGTCTCCCCATGAGGCCTGTCACATGGTTCAAATTCATGAAGTGCCACCAAGCTTGGGGCAAATACTGAGTGACCCCAGTCACGACACTGTCGACTCCATGTTCGAAGTTGACCCTTTCATTGCCTATTTAGGCTCCTGAAAGAAAAAATGTCAGGATCATGGGTCTCTACACTCGAGATTGATAAGAAACAATCTGAATGCTCTGACGAAGAGTTGTAAGAAGCTCTGGAAGAGTGGGAGGCAGGTCGTCAGGCCACAGCTGACGAGCTTGAAGAGATAAACTTAGGGGATGAGGCCGACTCAAGGCCAACTTTCATCTCGGCAAAAATGTCCCCTAAAGAGAAAAAAAGTTATATTTCCCTACTCCGAGCAAACCGAGACGCTTCGCCTAGCATTATCATGAGATGCCTGGGCTAGACCGTCAAATTGCTATCCATCATCTCGGAATTGATCCGTTCATCTGACCCATAAAACAAAAATCAAGAAAGTTTAGACTCGATCTTTAGATGCAGATCGATGCTGAGGTGAACAAGCTCAGGCAAGCTGAATTCATACATGAAGTCAAATACCCAAAATGGCAGGCAAATATTGTCTCAGTCAAGAAGAAAAATGGCCAAATCAGGGTTTGTATTGACTTTTGTGACCTCAACATTGCCTGCCTCAAGGATTACTTTCCTTTGCTGTTCATTGAGATGCTTGTTGATTCTATAACTCATTTCCAAATCTTCTCGTTCACGGATGGGTATTCTGGTTATAATCAGATCAAGATGGCACTAGAAGACGAAGAGGCCACTGCATTCTTGACCCCAAAAGGTGTCTTTTACTACACTGTGATCCTTTCGGGTTAAAAAATGCTGGTGCCACGTACCAGCGAGCCATGATGACTATCTTCAAGGACATGATGCACAAGGAGGTCGAGTGCTATGTGGATGACTTGGTGGTGAAGTCTGAAGCAAAGGATTCTCACATGAAGGACCTTGAAAAGGTATTTGACCGGCTCCGACATCACCAACTCAAGATGAATCCCTTGAAATGTGCCTTTTTCGTACACTTAGAAAAGTTCTTGGCGTTCATTGTGAGGTATTGTTGGCTGGAGATCGAGCCAGTCAAAATCAAGGTGATCCAAGGTATGCCACCGCCTACAACCCTACATGAGCTTCAATCTCCCCAGGGGCAGCTGGCCTACATTCGAAGGTTCTTCTCGAACCTCTCAGGACGATGCAGGCCTTTTTACACCTGCTAAAGAAGGACACTCCCTTCATATGGGATGAGGCGTGCCAAGCTACACTCAATGATATCAAAGCAGTACCTGCTGAATCCTCCGGTACTCTCCGCACAGATATTAGCATGGCCTCTCATCCTATACGTGACCGCTCTGGATGAGTCACTTAGGGGCACTCCTAGCACAAAACAATGATGGGCGAACAAAAACAATACTCTATTATCTCAGCCATAGGATGTAGGGGGCCAAGAAGAATTACCCTCCCATCGAGAAGATGTGCCTAGACTTGATCTTTACGGTACAAAAGCTCCGCCAATACTTGCTTGGTCACGAGGTTAAGCTAATCTCAAAGCCATGTCTGTTAGGATGCTTGGCCAAGTGGGCATTATTGCTGATGGAGTTCGACATCACTTATATACCACAAAAAGGCATCAAAGGTTAGGCCTTAGCGGACTTTCTCGCGACTCACCCAATTCCTTCAGAATCTCCCCTGCCAAGTGATCTCCCGGATGAAGAAGTTTTCTGTATGGTACTAGCTTGGGCGTGGGAGATGTATTACGACGGAGCATTCCAATCTGATAGAGGTGGTGCCGGGGTCGTGTTCCTGACTCCCGACGGTGGAATGATTCCTCTATCCTTCTCACTCGTAGAGGCATCTTCTCATAATGAAATTGAATATCAAGCCCTCATAATCGGATTGGAGATTGCCCAAGAGCTAGATCTAGAGCAGCTGAGCATCTTCGGTGACTCTGAGCTCATCATCTGACTGCTTAAGGGAATTTATGACGTAATGAAGGATACTCTCAAGCCTTATCATGATACGGCCAAATATTATATGGCACAGTTCGACGATTTCTCTCTAAGTCATATCCCTAGAAGGCTCAACTTGCAGGCCGATGCGCTCTCAAACCTCGGAGCCACCATTCAACTGTCTTCATTAGGTCCCACGATTGTCTAGGTAACGGAATGGAGACATGTTGACTTGAGAACCGAAGTTGATGCAGATGATGGGAGAGATGTCTTCCCTGAATGCCTGCCTTATCCATTAGAGGCACTCCTTGTGGCCAAGGATGTCATTAAGGCAGAGCAGGAAATGTCCCAAGATAAAGAATCCAAGGTTAGGAAGCAAGAGCCTAAATTCTTAAACCCGATGTGTGCAGAGATTGAACAAGTGGAAGACTGGAGGGAGCCTATCATGAACTTCATAAAGAATGGAAGGCTACTTGAGGATTGGGCAGAACGTAACGGTATACGACGGATGTCTACCAATACACCCTTCTCGATGGGGATGTTCTCTTTTGTCGATCATTTGATAGAATTCTCCTCAGATGTGTCGATACACAAGAAGCAAATAAAATACTAGAAGAAGTGCATTCGAGTATCTGTGGGCTGCATCAATCCGATCAGAAGCTCTATGAGCGTATACGCACACTAGGCTATTATTGGCCTTCAATGGTGGCTGTTGTCCAAAACTATGCTAAAATATGTTAGGTGTGCCAAATGCACTCAAGCCTTATTCATCAGTCCCCAGAACCCGTCCATCCTACAGTGACATCTTGGACCTTTTCCTAGTGGGGTATGGACATTGTAGGACCCATTAACCCTCCTTCTGCCTTGGGTCATGTCTTCATGCTAGTGGCGACAAATTACTTTTCTAAGTGGGCTGAAGCAGTCCCTCTCAAGCAGGTTCCAGGGGCCACTGTGGTCAACTTCATGTGTCACCACATCATATACCGGTTTGGGGTTTCGGACCGAATAATCTCTGATAATGGCCCTCAGTTCAGAAGCCATCACATTGATCGCCTAGTCAACCAGTTCAGAAGCCATCACATTGTTCGCCTAGTCAACCAGTTCAGTTTTGAGTGGAAGTACTCGACCATGTACCACCCTTGAGCCAATGGTTTAGCTGAGGCGTTTAATAAAACCCTATGAGGGGTGCTTCAAAAATCAGTTTTGAAGTCAAAGAAGAATTGGCATGAGAGGCTGCCTAAAGCTCTGTGGGCCTATCGCACCACTACTCGGAGTCCTACAAATTCTACTCCTTATTTCCTGGTCTATGAAGGTGAGGCAGTTTTACCCCTCGAGGTTCAAATGCCCTCACTTCGTGTTGCTATACATCAGGGACTAACTGAAGATCAGAAGGTCAAGCTCCATTATCAAGAGATGGATTCCCTTGACGAAAAGAGACTAGAGGCCAGCAGAACCTCGAGCTCAATCAAGGAAGAATGAAGAGAGCCTTTGACAAGTCTTTCAAGGTTCACTCATTCGCTCGTGGGGATCTAGCCTTAGTAGTCAAAAGACTGATGGTCATGCATTGACACTGCAAAGGCAGGTTCGAACCTAAGTGGGAAGGTCTAGTCAAGAAAGTCTTGCTAAATGGAGCCTACATACTGGCACATCCTGGTTGAGAGCAGGCAATGCCCCTTATCAATGGGTGATATTTAAAGAAATACTACCCATGACACATACTCAAGAAAAGACTCAATGCACAATAGCAAAGAGGTAAAATGATGGTAAAAAGAAAGCAAGCAAGAAGGTCCAAACAAGGTTTAACTCTTTTTATTGCATCAAAAGGAGTTACAAGTTACAATCGAAAGCCCATTATTAAGGAGGTTACAAAGCTCTTGCATCTGAGGATAAGAGGAAGGTTATAAGCCAAAAAGAAATTCCCTCATCATGAAGAAGAAGCAAAACCACTTGCAAGTCAGCTTCAATTCATCTACTGGGTGTTCTCAAAGATGATGGT